TATATATACACACATGTACATGTATATTTATATATACATTTTTGGAATGAGATATGAGCAGGAAACTGTAAGTGCTGAGCTCCATCTAGTGGTATGATGTGGCGTTAATCCAGCTTGTTGTGAAAGGACGATTAACAAGCATATCCAGTTCATCCAAACTGTGTACATGCTGACCAGTTACGCTCCACAGGAAGTATCTGGAGGAACTATTCTTGTCAAGTGTTCATGTAATCATTTTATTTGCATTCCTGGCTATGCTGCTGCTCATGTGGTCTTTATGGGAGACATTTAGGGCAGAAGCTACATTTATACCCATGTTTGCATCATGTCAGCAGATGCACTGCTATTGGCCCTGTTCCTGTAAGGTCTACTTAGAGAGGCACTCTGAAGCATAAGCACATGAAGCGTCTGCACCTGTAAAACAACGAGAAAGAACTGTGTACAAAATGCTCTTTTTCTGCTACTACTGTTACACATCAGGCCTTTCCCTCTCTGCTGGATACAGATGGTAGACCTTCATTGTGAAAATTAACCACGCTGCTATGATTAACTAGTTTTTATTTGAAGTTCCATTCACCCTTCAGTTCCCTGCCAGATTTGACTTAAAAGACACCAAAAGAATTACATTTAATAAGTAACTTTAAAATGAAAAAAGCCATATGTCCAAGCACATCCTGGACTCACAGGACAAATCCCTTAAGAGAAGCTTAACATGCGTTTTCCAACACCAAAGAATATTATGCAAAGTATATTCCAAGAAATGCATGTATCCACATTTCATTGGACACATGCAAGATGAAAATCACACCATCAGTCAGTGGCACTTCCTTCAGTCAATGGCACTTCCTTCAGTCAGTGGCACTTCCTTCAGTCAGTGGCACTTCCTTCAGTCAGTGGCACTTCCTTCAGTCAGTGGCACTTCCTTCAGTCAGTGGCCACGTTGTCTGTTTCACTTACAGTCCATCACCTTCTGCACGGACAGCGTTTCTAACAGACTAAGATCAGCTTACAACAGTAGCGAGGGCACAAGGCAGCTATCTGGAGAACTAAGTTATGAGTTCAGTACTACTCAAGTCACGTAGTATTCTCATTTTATGCCACTGATATGATCATATAATTATAATGCAAATACACCCTTTTAAAGAGCAATGAACTTTAAATTCTTAAAGTTATTCAGATTTAGGAATTGGAATGTTGCAAAATATATATAAAAACATCCCAAATAAATAAAACCTCAATAAAATAAAACCGTACAAACAAAATTGTGCAACGACTGCCCAATGCCCCAACGCCCAAGTCTCATAATGGTAGAGAAACCCTTTGTTTCTAAGCGGAGGCAGCTCTTTGTTTTAGGACCAACAGCAGCAAGTGTCCACAAATATCACAAGTCATTCATTTCCCCAGACAACCTGCACAGCGACGATCACAACACATTTCTCACAGAGAGGATGATACCACAATACAGATGTTTCTGTAACACAGGAAATATACTGCAAGACTAAATGAACTATACACCTACAGTGGCAAAGCCAGCCATACATTGTATGTATTGACAGCATTATGAAGTGCTTCAATGATAGAACTCAGGTGCAGCCTTATGAATGTCTTTAAAAGCAGCCATAGAGGCAAAAGGGTGAAGAGTTTAAAGTGTCTGCAGTGAAGAAAGGAAACAGCTCTCGTCTCTTTAAGATGCTTAGTCAGAGGAAACCCTGTCTCAAAATAATGACATTTATATAGTAAATGGTTTTGTCAGATATGGTGGATGGGTTAGTGAGCGGTACTACCAGGCACACAGGACCCTTGAAGGGCCTGTGTGTAGGATCTGGTGGCATCTCGCGGTGAGGTTCTAGACTGCAACCAACCGAAACTTCTCCCGCATGACAGCGCGTTGGAGAGCGTGTGTGGCGCTATCCAACGTCAGTGTTTGGTTTGTCTGCTCTGGGCTACCGTAGAAACCTGGCGGTGCAACATGAAGGACTCGCTCCCTTTGTAGATATGAAGGTTCATTCTAACGGAAACACAAGGGTTATTACAAACTCGTAATATAAAAATGTAATTTCTATGAGACAGGGGACACCTTAATCTCTGATGTCTCGTCTGATTTGTCGGGTTCTTCATTCTGACAAAAATTGGCTTTTTTTCTGGATCACATGATTGCAGATTACGGAACAGGCGGACATTTTCAGTCCAGTTTTAATGGATTGGTAATGTTAATTATAGGCACAGTTAGTTTCTGATCGATTGTGCCATTTCAAAGTGTGGCACTACAGGAAGCCCCCACCCAGACTGAAGGGGGTGAACTTCTGGGCCTGCTGAGCTCCGATTTCAGCCACATACAGGGCCCCTGTCTTCAGGTCCAGGTCCACCAGGTGGGGCTTCACTTCGTCAGCCAGCTGGATCACACTGGCCACACTGCACTGGCCAATCAAACCCACCGGTGGAGCGTCCAGCAGCGTAATCTGGTTGGTGTTGAGCTGGACAACGACAAAGTACTTCTTGTCCGGGGTCAGGCGCACTGAATAGGGCGCATCCTCCGTGAAGCAGCTCCCCCACGTCCCCAGCCAGTCCCCGGTGATGGAGTTAAAGACCTGGATCCTCTTATTCCCCCTGTCGGCCACCCACACCCTCTGGAAGTTGTCCACAGTCACGCTGTGGGGGATGTTGAACTGAGCCGGGCCTTGTCCCTTCTCTCCGTGCATCCACATCACCTGCTGCTCTTTGGACAGCTTGATGAGGCGGTTGTTCACCCCACCGTCTCCGTCCACGATGTAAATCTCTCCGGAGTCGTGGACGAAGATCTCAGCCGGATTATCGAACTGCAGAGGGTTCATCCCAGAGCCTGCCTTCCCCGGTGTACCAAGCACCTGACAAATACAAGAAAATATTCAACGCCCAGCAACATTTGGCAGATTTCTAATTTTATATATTCACACTAAATACTTCAATGGAAAACGAGCTGGTGGAACCTGAACCAAAGACTTTTAGTGACAAATTAAATCCCCGTCACCTGCAGGAGCTTCCCAGATGGGGAGTACTGTTTGATGCAGTGTCCGTACGGGCCGGTCCCCACATCTGTGATCCACACGGTGGGATTTGAAGAGGCAGCGTCTGCTAAAAATAAACCGTGAGGCATCTCCAGGGTGGTTGTGTTCCAGGACATGAGGAAGTCTCCGTCTGTGGTGAACACCAGCACCTTGGGCACATTGCCACCTGAAGGCAAAGCAAAGGTGAAACACTTCAGGCAATAAGTCAATAAGTCAATATGATAGTATGTTATTTCAACAGAATCATATTGTGATGAAATCATATGTCGACATTTCGCAATACACAGTTCCAGCGTCTGAATTGATGATAGCAGGCACACACCACCCCAGTGTCGTTAAATCGTTTATCGTGATATATATCAGTATTGAGGTATGAAGAGACCTAATTCAGGACAGAAGAATTTGGGCATATCAACCAGTACATTTCATATTGATCTGATGTTCACGTGTTCAAAGTAAAGTATGGTCAAGAGAATAGGAGAAGAACACCAATAAAATCTGGAATTATCTTTACAAATGTTAATGAACATTTTCAATTCATGCGATATTTTTAAAACGAGGTAACGGTTTTGTCTTTCACGAGTGTCATCAACAAACCCACATTTCCAGTCCACTAATAAACTAAATAGAGCGAAATGCAGATGCTCTCCAACTTGATGAATTCAGTTGATACGTGTGTTTACCTCTCTGCGCCACATACACGACACCGGTGTGCTGGTTGGCAGCTACTGCGAACACGTCCCCGGTGAAGAGCTCGGGATTCTTCGGCCAGTTCAGGTCCAGCTTGTAAAGAGGTCTCCCCAGCAGCTGGTAGTCCTGCCTGAGGCCGGAGCTGCCCGGCTGCTGAGTGCCGATGGTGCCGTACAACACCATCATGAGCACTGCTAGCGAAGCCATGCTGGACGCGATCAAACACGTACGGCCTCTCTTTTTCATCAGCATCAGTGGTTTACAGTCCTGAGAGAACATCGATTGAGTTGGTCCAAAACAAGCGCACCGTTAATATAATATATAGATATAGATATATCTATAGATGCTATTAGGTTGAAATCCGGGATCTAGATATACTGGTAAATCCACAAACCACATTCAATGTAGAGTCATTTCCTGGAGTCCGAAACAAAAACCAAATTGAGGGAAATGAGTGAATAACACATAGCATTTCCGTTCAACGTTTCGCAATAAAAGCACCACTAAAAGACATCAATCCGAATACTCCAAATGGTTATGTGGTCAGACTCAACGTGTGAATACATCTGAAAGAAATGTAGATGCGGTCGGGCAAAATCCAATGCGCTCTTTACATCGACTATTTCAACACTATTCTTTGAAGACTTGTATTGTTTAGGGCAAGCCTTTTCTATTCCCGTAACTTGACGCAACAAAACACCCGAGCAAAGCGGAAGGACGGTGACGTCATGACGTATTGACCGTGCTTCCCTGACAGCGGTGCTTACAGCGGCTAATAATCTTCTAACTCATCGTTTTCAGGACTCTTTTTCATCACATTGCGGATGACAGTCCGTGGGGGACGGAGACACCTTTCATGTAGCGTAAACCATCGAAGTATCGATTCCATGGAAGTCGTGGACAGCCCGCTCAATCTCGTAAGTTTCGGGCTCGATGTTGCAATAACAGGCTAGCGTTACTGTAGCTAAGAGATTGCATAGCTAGGCTACATTAGCTAGCTCCCATAGTTAGTTAGCGGCTATCCGCTACGTTTGCCAATGTCCCTGTTGTTGTCCGACATGCTACACATGATAACGTTACATGTCGGTCCTCGGAGAAACGAGCTAGTCGTCCGTCGTTGGGACATTGTAGCTATCCTGTCTGGTTTTATTGTGATGTAATGACTAAGTCATGTTAAGGATTATTATTATTATTATTATTATTATTACAGAGAATGCTTTACAAGTTGTTAGCTAACGTTACTTGTTTGCAAGGCCATCTGATAATAACCTGCTTTTAGCCGATTATAGCATTTTGAAAAGGTAAGTTAACGTTATGGCGTTAACTTCCACTGTCCCCGACGTCAATTAGCCAGCAAGGTACCGCTAACCTGAAATACAATGCTACCTCGGTATTATTTAACCTCCATGTTGTCTGGTTGTTGTCAATTAAGCACAACAGGGGGCGTTGAAGGCACGTTACCTGATTAGATTTAGCATGCAGCGTTATAGAAGGAAGGACATTAGAGGGTCTGTATTTAGGTGTGTCAGTAACAACCTATGTAGAGGAAGCATTATACAGTGTATCATAAAGGTATCGCTGCACCATGATCCTCTCATGACCACAATCATCTTAACAGATATTGGTGTTACTGATGATCGTGGATAGCCTCAGTCTGTGTGTCTCATGTATCATCATAGCAATCAAATCACAGATCTGTTTTTCTCCGGAAAATAAATCCAAACACACTTCAGGGATTTCCTGAATCCTCAGACCATCTGGATCAAAATATATATTCAGTCTACTGCATGATAACACCTATTTAATTAAAGGTCTATTCCCTAATAAAACAATAAGGGTAGCTGGAAATTATCTCTTCTTTTTTATATTATTGTGCTTTTTCTTGTGAAAACAAGGAGCAGGGAGACATTTCTGTCCACGGCCTTGGAAAATAGAGTCACAATGACATCACAACATACCAAAAATATCAATTTGTATCCAGATGGTTAGCAGTAAATGAGCAAAATCCCCGTCAAAGGACATTCAACACAGTGGTAACTGGTATGAGATCCAACCCCGTGCGGACTGAAAAGGTGTACAGCCTAGCTGGGTAACCGATGGCCCCGCCCATTGTGGGTAAGGCATCGTGATGGCTTGTTCAGTAACCTCCGACCTAGGTAACGAGCACACCCCCCAAAATCTACACTCAAAGACCCGCTCAGCCTGCCTAGGGGGGCGAAGCCAGCATAACTAAAAACACTAGCCACGTCGTATCGCTTATTTCAGGCTAAGAAGTCGGCCTCCCAGAGAGCCAGATATCAAGGCATTTGTGCACAATAGGTGGTGGAGGTCTGGAAGTACTCCAGGATGGACCCGTTTAAAGGGCCACCGCTGGAGGAGGAACCCCGTGTGGTTGGGAACCTCACTCGGTTATGAAGAGCAGCTTCAGGACCCGAACACTATGAATTTAGACATCAGTCTGACCCCTATTGCTTCACCATAAACACAACAGCTAATGTCTAAACTCTATGATCACATGCAACAACGGGCATGATGAACCAGCAGACCTGCTCGCTCCCTTTCCTCTCCAGTCTCCTCCTCTTTGTCTTTCTCACCAGCATCTTCAACCTCCTGGTCCATACATGGTAGATAACTAAACATCGTCAGATCATCGGATAAAGCTGTTTACGTACTCTTACAATTTGTACATGCTTCTTTAACTCTTGTTTCTTAAGTTCCTGAGTGAAACATCAGTCCAAATAGTTCTTTAAACGGCTCATTTACTCATCTTAAGCGATTGTGAACTCAAGAGTATTATACATCAATCAATGAATGAGAATCACTGAAACGTCATCATCATTAAATGAACACTAAGTATTAATACAAATCAAAGAATGAAAAGGAAAATCATGACTGATTCAAAATTACTCTGAAATCATTACTAACTTATTGAGTACAAATAAACTTGAATGCATTAATACTGAATGAATCGAATAAAAGAAAACAATACTTTGAAAGACGGCCTCCTATGCTCTATGGCTAGTGGTTATCAGAGCCGAGCTGTATAGAAACCACAGCAGTGCATTTAGAATCTTTGTTTACACTCACGCTTGGCACCTCAGCGCGGGCTGCGAGTATGAGCAGAGGCGTTTGTACTCGCAGCCCTGTGGCCTGCATTGTTCTCCAAAACGCCAGATGTGTACAAATAAAATGAACTGTGAAGAATCATAAAGACAAGGAGTGTAACCCAGAGATACGCCCAGAGCCTGTAGGTGGAACCGGTAAAAGCCATAAAGCAACCTCCTTAATGCAGAGGAGGGATTGTGATTATGTGTAAACTCATATCTCATATTCAGGGACTTTGTGCAAGCCCAGTAAATAAACAAGTTAAGTGTTAAATGCATTATAAAGAACCAAAGGTTGAATATCCTGTAAACTATTTGATTTGGCTGCAAAATATTGATTTGAATGTAGATTTATTTGTAAGACCTTCTGTTCCTAAAGCATTTAGAGGTGAACTGGTCTTCTTTGTATAATCCCTGGACATATAAATAGTGCTTTTATCAGTGAACTACTGACACGTGATCGCCAAGTTACAAATATTCAGAGGTGCACGACCAGCACCGTGACCACTTGCGTCACGTGCCGGTCGT